AATTGAAAAAGAAAACTCGTGCATGTAAAGAACGCCCAAATCTAACTTCGTTAGACGAAGTTATCATTTTTCGAAGTTTCAACGTAGCAGTGTGCGACCCAGAAACAGAAATTGAAATCAGTCGTTTGTTAGGAAAAATAATCTAAACGAGAGTTGAAGATCTCATCAATACCTATTTGTCGATATAAAGACAATCAAGAACGAATATCATATGAGAAAGTTATGATTTTTATACGGACTTTAACAGTCTAAGTCTATTCAAAATGTAAATTTAAAAAAAAAGTGAGAATTAGCCGACATAGTCTAAACTAAAGTTGCAGTACTTGTCTATAGCTAGACGTAGATATAAATAACATCGATAATGGAGCTCATATGAAGAAGATATGATTTTTTGAAACATATTAAGTTTTCACGTGCGTACACAAGAGGCGCATCGCGCTTCTGGCAGCCGACACAGCCCCACCCGAAACCTGCCATGTGTCAGTGTCTGAATGGAGCCATGTCAATGCTCCAACAAGATACGCGACACGCCTAGACAAAGGGTGTGGCGCGCCCCTCCCTTTCCATCTATAAATAGGCTGTGTTCCAAGCTCATTTCCTCACTCACATTCGCCTATAATCCTCTCGAACGCTTTCGTACCTTTAGCCCCTTTACTCCCAAGTTCCTGACTACTTTAGCGAGGCCCCACGACATTAGAGAGACGGAGAAATTGGAGTTCCCGGGTCGGAGTTCTGCCCGCATAATTACTGGTTCTCGTTCTGTAAGTTAAGCTACACTTATTTTAATTCAAGTGTAATTTATATTTATAATCATAATCGTTATTATGAACCTTTAAATACGATTTATCAGTGATTCCAATTCATAATACTGATTGATCTACTTACAGGAGTGATGTCTAGGCTGGATTTAGTGAGGTGTTTAAAGTGAGATCTTCGAACAGTATACTTTGTATAGCAAATGGACCCTGCCTCCGATATGATCCTACCTGGTTATTCCTTATTTGATAGATCTTGATGTAGACACTGGGATTATTGAGGAATCTACACTATCATTATTATAGTCACAATAAATATGAAACTAGACTAATACTTAGTGTTATATACATCTAGGTCTTTTGAAAAGGTGTTAAGGCGAAGCGTTGCCCTGACCTCGAATCACCCGCTTTTGTCAGGTTAGTGCGTGGTTACTTTCAAAAGCACAATTTAATAAAATGATTTATTAAATGCTAATTGTATAAATTATACTCTATGCTATTTGTATAAACGATAATAGTACTACTTCACTAAGATTCGTATTGGAAGTAGAATGCCTTTAGGAATAGTCTTGTTTAGTTATGAAAAATAAGGCTTATAAATGATTCCCTAGTTCAAATTAAGCAGAGTGTCGAATAAGTCTAATCCAGGGGTAGAGTGTGAGATCAAGACGGAGTGTAGTATTCATCCTCTTCTAGGAAGACCATAAATGGTGGGTCCATATAAGACAACTGACAAGTAATTATGGGTCATCGACCAAAGTAGATGACAACACTTGACCATTCTAAGCAGTATAGTAAGTTACATTGCTACTGTGGACTTATAACCCACAGACATAGATAAAATGGGATACCATATTTATCAAAATATTTTGAACATTGGTTGCCTTTAATATGACTTACATTAACCAAGTACTCCCCTAACAGCGTAGTCTACCGAAGAAAATTGCTTGACCCTTGTTTTCTTGTTTTCTTATTCATGCATCCTTTGATTTTTGATTTTAAGGAAGCATATGTGGAGTGTGAGTGTGACATGGCATCATATTCATCTTATACAACCCACATAAGCTTCTGCATAGGCTGAGGTAACCAGATATGGATTATGATACCACATAAGCTTCAATAAAAAAATTATGTGAGGTAAAATTGTTAATTTTTGCTAACCTTATGAGTATTGGGTGTGGGTCGGTGTTATAACAACACAAAATTGTCACCTCAAATGCCATATCACACTATTAATATCATAACTATAAATGGAGGTGGTGTTCAAATGTAATAACATGTGTGTGTGTGTGTGTATATATATATATATATATATATATATATATATATATAGAAAGAGAGAGAGAGAGAGAGAGAGAGAGAGAGAGAGAGAGATTTGACTGGCTTAGCTCTTCCATTGCAATCCGGCATAATGTAAACGACACAACCTTAACAAGTAAGGGGTGATATTCATGATGTTATACCGGCGTTAGGGAAGAAGGATTCATATGCAGTTTGGGCGATGAGATGGGGTGGTGTAACATCTCAAAAATTTCAATAATTTTAAACTTTTCAAAACGATCCTTTTACTAATAACTTGTTTAAAAAAATAGTGTTCTCGAAACATTATTTGAAAATCAGTGCCTCCCAAGATTAATGACATATAATCAGGATGTGTATGGTCACGCATTCGCCTTGCCACGAATCTCTGAAACACCTAAAACCATAAAACGAAAAATATAAGCACGAAGCTTAGCGAGTTTCCCCTAAAGTACCAACACACAACAAATAACGTATACAACAAACAACATACTATGGGTCCAATCAACCATCGGGTTGGAATACCCCAGGCCCCTCAACCATCAGGTTGGAATGCCAACATACTATGGGTCCAGTTAACCATTGGGTTGGAATGCCCCAGGCCCTCAACCATCGGGTTGGAATGTCAACATATTATGGGTCCTATCATCCACGGGATGGAATACCCTCAGGCCCAATCAACCATGGGGTTGGAATGCCTACATGATATGGGTCCAATCATCCTCGGGATGGAATACCCTCGGCCTGTTGACTTACACACAAAGCAGAGAAGCCTTAACCATTAATCAAACATGAGCACATATAAGAGATAATCATATAACAGTCTACAGCCAGTCAAACAGATCTACAGATCACTAAGCATAGCAACATCCTATCTACCTGGATACCGATCTAACATATCATTAAAGTACAGTAGCATGCATAACATGATATCAATCCAATGGGCCGACATTGGTGCCTTCGACCCGCAAGTACAGTAAGGACAACTCACCTCGCACTGGCAAACACACATACGATCCCTGGCTGCTGGCTGACAGATTCCCCGAACTGTCAATATCAAAACAACACCCAATTATCAATTGGGTTCCAAACCATATCCATAAATCCATACTCGGGGTAAAAAGACCATTTTACCCCTAACCTAGCTTGGTCCAAGACCAAGTCCCAACTCACAACCTGAAAGACCCAAAAGCCAAATAACCAACCAAGGCCCAATTATGGCCTAATTTTCCAAGTTGGGCCCAAACCCCTTACATGGGCCTTACCCTAAAGCCCAACCAAAATTCCTAGTCCAAGACACTTATACTCAAATAGCCCATTAAGAACTCAAACACCCAAGCCCGAAAAGGAAGCCCAACACGAAGCCCAAAAGCCAAAATCCTCCTAACTGAGTACGTGAGGTGTACTCAGTTGTATGCTACGCGTACATGCAATTTGTCTTGTACGCTGCGCGTATATACTTGTACGCCCAACGTACTCATCCATTAAGCCAAAACTCCATTAAGCACTTAATGCTCAAGACCAGGAGTCCAAACCACATATCTACTTCTTAAAGAACGTTTAGAACCATAAAGTCATTGACTTGATGACTTTGCATGCCCCAAAAGAACCCAATATCAAAATAAAACATTATACTTTCACCAAATGGACACCATCTCATGCATGGGGAATTCTAAACCCCAAAGGAGATAGCTTTAAGCATCTAGAACCTCAGAAACACCAAGAGTGGCAACTCATAGCTTCTGGAGTGGTACCAAACCACTAGATCTCATTCTTGGGACCAAAATGAACCAAAAACTCATACAAACTAGATCTAAGCCAACAATGAACAAGATCAAAGCTTTTTACCTCAAACAAGGTGGATATGAAGCACATAATCTAGACCCATAAGCTCATTCTTGATTCACAACCTTGCATCAAACTCCATCTTCTTGTAAATGACCCAAAAACACCAAAATGCACATTATAAGCTCAAAATTACAACTATGAGGGATTAGAGATGATTTATAGGGTTTTGGGAACTTGGAGGCTGATACCGTCGGGAAACCTTAACTTGTTGAGCGGGTTTAACGGGTTCAAGGCTTTATTGCATTTAATCGATTTCACAAACCCATTGACTTTGACTAAATTTCAAATGAATGTTGACTGACAATTCAATGCATGTGACATGCATGTAGAGCATTGATTCCTTCACCTGCCTACTTTAATTTTTGCATGTATCTGTTAGCTTTTTCATTTATTTATTTATTTATTTTTTTATTTATTTTTTGCATTCAATAATACAAGTTTGTATAGACTTTACATAATAGAATACTCAAATTTCAGTAAATTCTAGTTGTTTTTTCTGAAAGTTTTTATAATTTGCTCAATTTCTTCAGTTACCTTCAATGGATTCCCGATGCAAAGCTAAACAAACCAGTTCTAGCCATAGACACAAATCCTCACAAGACGTTTCAAGTTAAGATATTCCATTTTTTACTAGATTTTCAAAATCCAAACTATCAACAATACCTAAACTATTAACAAAACCAAAACTAGCTAAAAAAATATTTCCCAGTGCAACAATCTTACAACACATTTAGGCTTCCAGAGGAAAATCAGAGTTATAATCCATGGAATCAGTTTTCTCAAAGGGGTCTAGAAACCCAATTCCAATATTCTCAATCCGAGAATATCCAGTTCCATGATGCTCAGAACGTAGAATCTAACAGTTCTAGTGACGACTCAACTCACGAAAGAAACGAAGCAGAAACCAACGAGGAGTTGCAACCCGTTGCTGAGAAAATTCGCAACTATACACGCCGCCATAAGAGAAAGACATGGGTGGAACACAAAGAGTTGGCTTTGGCTAAGGCATATGTTGATGTTTCTAAAGATAAAGAACATGGAAATTAACAAAGGTTCGATGCATTTTGTGGGAAGGTTATACGACATTTTAATGTTCAAATGGGAGGTTCGGATCGGTCACGACACCAAGTAACCTCAAAATGGAAAGACCTCCAAAACAAATGTAATGCTTTCAAATCCATCTATAACCGTAAGATGAATAGTGTGGCTAGCGGGATATCTGAGGCTGATGCTTTACATTCTTCACTAAGAGAGTATCAGAGGAGTATTAATCAGAAAGCTTTTCCTCATCAGCAAACATGGGATTGGTTTAAAGACAATGCGAAATGGCCATTGGTTACAAAAGCTGGTGAAGACTCCCCGCCTCTTTCTTCAAAACGAACCAAAACATCTTCATCCAATGCCCACACAACATCTTCCGATGCACAGTATCATCCTGGATTCTCCCAACAACATGAATAGTCATTTAATGTTGAAGACTCACCGCCTCAGGGAAAAAGAAAATGAAAGAAAGCTGCATCGACAATGTCAACACAAAATGAAATGTTTAATCTCGTCAAACATATTGTCGGCATCAACATTGAAACCAACATAGAGACGAAAGAGAGAAAACAGTACCGGGAAGAAAAATTACGCAGTTACCAATCAAATAAAAAAGTGAAAGCTCAACTGTTGGACCGGGAGATTGAGGACCAAGATATGAAGTATTTTCTCCGACCGCATAATCATTTGACTGGTGTTATTTTATGCACGATGCTTGAAAGGTAACGACAAATTGCAACTAAGTATGATTGGGAGTTTGAGAACCCATGAAGTTCAAAATGCCAACATCATTTGATTGGAGAATCTTTCTCTTTATTATTATGTTTTTTTTTCTTTTTCTTTTTATTAAGATTCTCTATATGTACCATTGTTTGATTATCTATATATACGTATGCTTGTTTCATTATATATATATATATATATATATATATATATATATATATATATATATATATATATATATATATATATATATATATATATGCTTGCTTCATTTTCTCTCTATCATTTCTCTCTTCTTAAAATGAATCCAAACGTTCAGAAAATAGTAATGGATGGTAATGATGATAGTTCATCATCTGAAGATGAACTTATCAACAATAATTTGTTACATGCATTGTCTCGTACTGGACAACTTCTTCTTCATAATAATGCAAATTCAAGCAACATTCAAAGGAGAAACACAATCCAAAGAGATCGTTTAGAGGTTGAATGACTACCGATCCGACATTATTTTGCAGACGATTCAACCTATAGTTACGCGTAATTCCGCAGAAGGTTCCGTATGAGAAAAAGTTTGTTTATGCAAATTGTTGGTGACCTGGATTCCCTGGAATGCTTTTGTATGAAGGATAAATATTTACGTCGTCTAACATCCACTAACATTCAACTTTTGTGTGAAGCACATGAAGCTAGACTTGGATTCCCTGGAATACTTGGTAGCATTGAATGCATACATTGGAATTGGAGGAATTGTCTAATGGAATTGAGAGGCCAATACATAAGGGGTGACCATCAGTATCCATCAATGATACTAGAAGCGGTGACGTCACAAGATTTATGGTTTTGACATGCATTCTATGGTGTAGCCGGTTCGAACAATGATTTAAACGTTCTCTACCAATCACCACTGTTTGATGAGAAATATCATGCAACAGGACCCGATTGTTCATTTTATCTGAATGATGAACACTACAAGCATGGTTACTATCTTGCGGATGGAATATATTGATCATGGGCTGTATTTGTGAAGGCATATCCGTATCTAGTAACCGACAAAAAATATGATTCAAGGCGGCACAAGAATCAACAAGAAAGGACGTGGAACGTGCTTTTGGGTCCTTAAAGGACGTTGGGACATATTAAAAATGCCTACACGGGCTATGACAGTGAAGAAAACAAAAAATATAATGTACGTTTGTATTATACTATACAATATGATATTGAAAGATGAGGGTGCTGCGATATCTCCTGTGCATCAGCCTGCCCCCCCCCCCCCCCCCACCGATGAAGTCGATCACAAAGAAATAGTACATGAATTAAACAATGTTGAAACCCACCACCAACTTCGATCCACTTATCACATTGAAGATGTCTACATTTCAACTGTGAATAATAACTAATTAATTTCAATTTTCATTTTAGGATTTAAATTATGTTGTCTTTTTGAAGTATTTTTTTAATTACCGTGTATTTTTTTTATTTATAGTGTGTTTTTTAATTAAATGTTATTTTTATATTATTTTAGATTTTTTTTTGTTTTAAACTAACAAAATTTTATTTTTAAATGAAAATAATGTTATGTTTTATTTTTAGTTTATATTTTTTAATTTAATTAAAAAAAATTGATGTGAAAAAATTAGTTGAGGGAGTTAGAAAAATAAGGTTTTCATACAGTGCACGCGGTAAATAGCTTAGGCATGAGCAAACGAACCGAACCGGCCGGAACCGACCCGACTCGGACGCGGCTTCGGCCAAAATCAAGAACCGAACCGGCCCGGCGGTTCTACCGGTTCCGGTTCCGATTTTTGTCGGGTTTTCGATTTTGGAACCGGTCTTCGAGAAATAGCAACGCATTTTTGGGTTACGGTTTCGGTTTATGCCCGGTTCTTGTTGGTTTTTGTTTAGTACATATTTGTGTGCACTAATTGTTTCATAAATGGTCTATAGATTTTGTTTGTAATTTTGTAAAAGTGTTGGGTTTTGTTTATTTTTTTGAATGTAATCTACATAAAAAACGTTTGCTGGACAATATATGAAAAACTACAAGTTTGATATTATCAAAAATAAGTCAATTTCTCTCTTTCAAACAACCATTGCACCATCATTAACTATCCAACATTCAAACATTCAACATTCAAAATATATTTTCAACATTCAAAACATACTTTCAAGTTTCCCCAACAACAAAAAAAAAACAAAGTCTAATATGTGGATTCCAACATCTATTTGACTTTTTGACTAATTCCCCGATCTCTTCCCCGTTAGCTTCAAGTTGTGTATAGCATCCACAATGTCTATATATAATACAAAAGAAAAACGTTATTGCTTAATAAAATGTAACAATTACTAATAAGATGTAACAATTATGCACATTTTTAGTGTTGAAACATATTTGGTTTTATTTACCTTGATGGCTATATTTGAGAAACGCGTCTTTGACATCGTATGCTGATCTTAGCAATTGAAAGATAGAGTTCCACCTTGTTGGAGTTTCACCACACAAAAACCTTTGAGTTTCTACAGCCGCATCCTTCATGGCTTGTTTAAAGCTCTTGATCTGTTGTGGGGAGGCTCTAATGTATTTCACCGCATCCTGTACGCTTTTTACATGGTAAAATTTGTGTTTTAACCCCATTTTCACAACTTGGTTTATGATATGAGCCATACACCTAATGTGAAAATGTTTTCCATTCTCGTAAATACCCAACAGTTCTTTCACAATGATCTTGATTTCCGCGTCATTCGTCTTGGCATTATCAACGGCCATGGTCATGACATTCTTCATGCCCTACTCGTTTATGCAAATTAGCAACTCCCGGGCTATGTCTTCAGCATTGTGAGTATCAACCTCTCTAAAGTTGACTACCCTTTTGTGCATGACAAAATCTTCGGTAATGAAGTGGGTTGTGACAACCATATAATTTATCTTTTGACACGAGGATGTCCATGTGTCGGTTGTCAAGTGGATGGCTGTTTTGGGGTTGCTCAAATGTTTGTACAACTTCTTCCTCTCCATTAAATAGGACACAACATCACGAGAAATTTTATGCCTTGAAGGCAATTTCACCCTACCATTGAGGGCGTTTACAAATTCTATAAAGGCCTCATTTTCAATGAATTTAAAGGGTAGTTCCCCGATGGTGAAAAAGTCTAGTAAGGCAAGTTGGATCCTAGTATCATCATGTTTCCATGTGTATACATGACTCTGACCATTAGGGGCTTTTGTAAATGACAACTTTTGTTGTTTGTCATCAACTTCTTTCGGTTTGTTGTCCGGATTTAACTTGCAGCCATTAAAATGCTTGTTTATTGAAGTTGTCCCATTCCGGTTTGCATCCGCGGCTAGTAATTTTAAACAATAATTACATTCGGCCACGTTCTTTCAATTCCATCTTCCTCCTTTATCCATTCTATCTCGAAGTAATTCCAAACAGGAGCGGTACAATTATCTCTACCCTCACCTCGTCTGGTTGGGTTAATCCGGTCATTTAACTCCTTTTGAGTCGTTTTTTTGTTCTTGGGTTTTGGTTTTGTTGAGTATTTTTCTTGTGTTTGTTTTTTTGATAGTGGTGGTTTTTTTTGTGTTGGTTTTTTTGGTTGCCTTCATTTTTGTGGGGTTGCAAATTTTCGTTTTTTTGAAGGTTGTTGTTCTTGTGGCTTCTCTTCTTGGTCTGATTCGTCACTTGGTATAACATTCCATTCCAGTGTTTCTTCTATATAATCTTCTTCTGAATCTTCTCCATAATCCTATATTCTCAAAATAAAATATATAATAAGTCAGATTACGTTTAATTGCTGAAAAATAAAAAAAAAATTCTGATTTGACACGCTTCCTTGCGGGGCTTGTAACTCATTCAGTTATTAATCAAATCAAGCATTTTTATAGTCTTAACTTAGCTACAAAACCTAAACTACGTGTAGGAAAAAAGATTCAGGTCAAAACAACTTAAATCGAGTGAGTTATGTACATTTGAACAACAAAGTCAGATTACGTTTAATTGCTGTAACATAAAAAATTTCTGATTTGACACCCTTCCTTGCAGGGCTTGTAACTCATTCAATTTTTTACCAAATCAAGCGTTTTTATAGTCTAAACTTAACTACAAATCCTAATCTACATGTAGGAAAAAGATTTAGGTCATAACAAGTTAAATTGAGTGAGTTATGCACATTTGAATAACAAAGTCAGATTACGTTTAATTGCTGAAACATAAAAAAATAATTCTGATTTGACACCCTTCCTTGCGGGACTTGTAACTCATTCAATTTTTAACCAAATCAAGCGTTTTTATAGTCTAAACTTAACTACAAATCCTAATCTACATGTAGGAAGAAGATTCAGTTCAAAACAAGTTAATTTGAGTGAGTTATGCAACTTTCAAAATTTCGACAGAATGCTAAAGAAGTAAATATTGCTAATGAGATAATCTTAGTTGGTCATCAAAGTCTTTTCCAATCCAAATAGCCGGATTACCATCTTCATTATTGGCATCATGAACATCCGAGTTTTGGTATCTTGATGATGGTACGTTTGGTAACCCATTCAAATCCTACATTGTCAATATAACACATTAATTATATAACTAAATAAATTCTTAGTTTTGACAATCTTACATTCATACTATAAACTAATATAACAGAAATCTTGCATGTATGTCTACAAAGTACAAAGTACATTGTTAAATGGAGCTTAAAAC